GGGGGGGGGGCGAAGACATGCCCGCATGGCCGCATGGCGTGCGCACGCACCACCTCGTATAGCCCTGTTCCGTGTTTGACTTTTCAACATTGCGCCGCCACTAGAGCTGAAACACGCCGCGGCCGCGGGTTATCGACGCCCTGCTTGTCTCGTTTGTCTGTATTGTCCCGGGCTGCCAGACACGGGCTTTAAAACACGCGCCCCCGGGGGGGCCCGGCCGGGGCCCGCTCGATGCTGGCGCAATACCGGTATTATGGAGCTCTGCCCCGCCGCCGGTGGCATATTGATCGCGCGGGCGGGTATGATGAGATGGCCGCCCCGATAGACGCGTCAGCCAGAGTGAGGGGCTTTGGAGGCACCGGTCGCATTCTCCACACATGTGTCTCTCCTCTCACATTTTTGAAATTGTTTTCTCCAGAGAGCCTGGAGCTGCGGCAGCTGTGCCTGGGCTCGCAGACGCCCCTGCTGCGCGGGCTGCGCGCGAGCGAGCTGGTGGGCGGGCGCTGTGTGCCGCTGACGCTGTCCTCGCTGCGCGGCATGGCCGGGCTGGGCGGCCACACGGACGGCCCCACGCTGGCGCCCTGCCACCAGGTGGCCCTGCAGGCCCACGTCGAGCTCCACCCCAGCGACGACTTCCGATGCGTCCTCCGCACCCGCCTCTTCGGCAAAGGGTAAGAAGGGGCGAGCCGAGTGTCGACCGATGGACGTTATGGCTGGAGCGGGGGCTCACTTTGCGTGCCGTCGTTTCAGAGTGGGCATGGACCTGGACCTGGCGATGGAGAAGCTGCACCTCAGCGGCCAGGTGCTGGCGACGCTCACCCTCGACATCAACGCCCCGTTCCCGCACATCACGCACCTGTCCGTGACCTTCGTGGAGAAGCCTGACATCTGGTTCAGCGTGAGGATCCTCAAGGTAAAGTCGAGAGGGTGCGAGTCTTCTGGACACCCCACTATCGTGATTCAATGTGACTCATCAGTTCGTGTGTTGTTGTGTTTTCAGTCCGTCCAAGCCATGGAGGTCCCGCTACTCAAGACGTGGATACACTCGCTGGTGATGGACGCCCTGGTGACGTCCCTGGTGGACCCTGGCCACCTGGACCTGGTGCTCGTGGCCCCCGACTGCCCCCGGCCCGCCAAAGACGCTGGCGACGGCGACGGCGAGAGCCTGGCCAGTGGAGTGCTGACCCTGGGGCTCTCTATCAGCCAGGCGGTGGGACTAGGTGCGCAGCCATGGTGCAGCCGTAGGGCGACGACTGGTCATTCCCTTCGCCATGCCTTGGCCTGCACGTTTACTTAATTCTTCTGTCTCCCAGGTGCGCCCGGCCCCGACGAGGGTGGCGCCCGCTGGCTCGTGGTGACGCTGGGGTCGCAGCGCCGCACCTGCCAGCTGTCGCCGGCCTCGCAGCTGTCGTCGTGGTCCGACAGCGTGTCGTTTCTGGTGGGTGCGGCGCAGCTGCAGGCTCCGACCGACCGCCTGCAGGTGAAGCTGAAGACCAAGCGCCTGGTGGGCGCGCTCACGTTGGCCCAGTACGAGCTGCCCCTGTCGGCGTATGCTCTGGAAGGGTCGCCCTCCCTCGCGGTGGACACGGTGCTGCATCGGAAGCCCACCAGAGCCTCGATGCAGCTCCCCGTCATCAACGCGCACCTTGAGTACACGACTCTGCCTCCCATGACGGTCCCCCTGCAGCACGACCCCCTGGCGCAGGCGGACCAGCCGGTGCCTTCAGATGCCATGCAGCAGGTGGGCGCCAGGGCACCATCACCTACACGAATTGATGGGAGGTAAACTGCAATCATTAAACGCTCTGTTGCTTTCAGGGAGGCGTCCTGTTTGTGGTGATCCACGGTGCCGAAGGACTGTCTGCATCGGATCAAAATGAGTGTAATCCTTACTGTATGATATTTAACAATCGTCAAAAAGTGAAAACGACACATTACATGCGTGGCACAACATCACCAAACTGGGAATCTCGCATGCAGATACTTGTGTCTGATTTCTCTCAGGCATCATTGTCCTTTGTAATTTGCTCATGGAGCTCTTCAAAAATGGCAGACACTGATCTGTTAGGGGTAGCTGTATTTAACTTCAATCAGGTATAATTTTAATGACAAACAAGTGCACAGTAATTATAAGTGAACTAAGTTTAGTTATTATGTTATTATTTGAATTCCAGGGTGAACGGAAAGTATTAAGACGTCAGTTGGCATTAACAGGCGGAAGTGCAGTTGCCAACATAACTGTTTCTGTTGCATTCCAACCAGTTGCCTCTGTCTCTTCCTCCCGCTCAGCCAACCGCACTGAATCAGGTAGCATTCGTGAGAAAGACAGAGAACGTCCCGCATCACCTGATAGTCAAAGAAATATAGATGAATTTTCAACTTTTAATAAGGGGAAACGTAACAGTAACACTTGGATGCATCAAGCAGTAAGTACCCCTGAAATTTTGTTTAGGGTATGGACACTGTTAAACTAATTTAAAACTCCTTTTGAACCAAAAAAATTTCTTCCAGAAAATGCTTTTGACACACAAAGATAATGATAGCAGTGTATTTGATATAAGCAATCTCCTGTCCAATGGCCATGGTCTAATTGAAGTCAGTTTAATTAAAGCCCGTGATCTAGTTTCAAAGGACTTAAATGGCTTTAGTGACCCGTATTGTGAAGTGAAAGTTAATGGAGAATGCAAGTACAAGACTTGCATAAAGAAAAAGACCCTTAATCCAACATGGGAGGAGAGCACAATAACAGGAATGCCTCATAATAATGAAACTTTGGATATTGTATGTTCACTTGTCTGTGTAGTATACCATAAAATTAAACAATGATAAAACTATAGTGTAAGGGAAGAACTCTAATTACGGTTGGTTTTCTATTTCAGTTTATGTGGGATCATGATGTTTTTGGCATGAAGGACTTCTTAGGTAGTATCACTTTGTCCTGTGATGAAATAAGGCGTTGCTCAGCTCTTGATGCACCACAGTGGTTTCAACTTCAAGGCACAAAGTCTGGCAGTGTTGAGATCAAAATAAAAGTGATTTCTGATATGGAGACTGAGGTGTGTGTGATTAATATGTATACTCTTTAAAAATTTCTTCTAAATGAAGTATATGTGTTATTTTGCCATTTTAAATGAATAGGGAAAAAAAGGATGAACCAAGAAATTTTAATTTTGTTTTATAAAACAAACACTTTTTGCTTTGTTTATTGTTTCATCTTAGATTAATGTCAGTTTATGTTTTATTATATCTGTGTGTTGTTTTTTGTTTTTTTTTTGCTTGTTTTGTAGAGTATCAGCAGTTATGCTCCCAGCACTGCTCCAAGTGTGAATAGTTGCACAAGTTCGCCTCGTCTTCCACTTAAAGCAGAGAGTGAGAGGGATTCCAATTATAGTTTTAAACCAATTATTAGACGTCCATCAATGGAACGGTCCCGTCTGAGGCTTCATGCTGATCCCCCTCCTCCACCGCCTAGAACAGTCACACTTCAGAACAAAAGCAACCTTAAAGATGGTATGTTTATAGTTTTACAGTACAACTTTTCTAAATCAGAAAGAAACACATCAAACAAAAATTATTCCATAATATCTTTTTAAAAAAGAGTTCAAATTGATGTTACAAATTCTTGTTCTCCCTCTTTACTATCTAGCTTCATCAAATGGGTTTCAGATGGATTTAATTGAAAAGTCCTGGAGTTCTTCAGATCCGATTCATAATAAGCTTAATGGCAATAATAGTGGCACTGAGTTAAGAGGCTCAATTGTCGACAATGGTAATAATTGGAGCCCTGCACAGTCTACCACATCCTCACCTTTGCCTGTTCCTCGACTTATGGTTAGCTCACCTCGTAGTAATCATAATTCCCCTGGCCGCTTTTCACTGCGATCATCCAAACCATCACTAAGTCCACCTAGTCCCAATAATGGCGACTCTTCCATAAATGGTGATGATGAGAATCATTTTAGGAAGGGAAATGAATACAGCAGCTTGCGAATCATGAAACAAAAGGTACAATAAGTATCTCTGCGTTACTAATTATTCATACATCTCTAAACAAATTTTAAATTACCAACATCTACTCTTAAGATATGTAATGCATAGATTAATTTTTGGTTTGACGTTTTTTATAGGTAAAACAAGGCCTTCGTCTAAGAAGATTTAGATCTGAAATCAACGTTCATGAAGAGAAGAATGGAAAAAATGGTCGTACAGGTGTTGCCTTAAGTCTGCAACCACGCACTGTTGATGAGTCAGACGCTTCTGACATCATGAGTGGAGAAATATTGTCTCATGCTGTGTCACAACCCAGTCTTATTATTTCAAAACCAAAACGACCAACAGGTAAAATGACATATTCTTAAAGTTCTGAAAGTTTCTCATTATGGTCATATGTCTCTTACAATATTTTTTCTATCCTTCGTAAGATTTAAAAGGGCTTGCTAGTCCTCGGCCTGACACTTATGTTGGTGTTGAAGGCAGAGTTCTACAAGCTCAAGGACTTCACATAGCTCATGTTGCTCAACTCTACTGTCGAGTTAAGTTACAAACTGCTGTGAGCCCTGAGAAAGTGAGTCGATTAAGTGGGAATAGTGCATCAGGAAAGACGGTAAATATGTTCATATTGAATTTTTTTTCACTTAATTGAATCTTTACAAAAACCATTTGCATTTAAAGTATAAGTCTTAAGACACAGTGTTTCTTTTTTTAAGGTTGCAAAGTCCCGTCTTTTGCCTGCTGTTCCAAATCCAAGGTTTGATCTCCACTTCCAACTAGACTCTTCCTCGCCAATATCTAGACAAGCAGGTCTTCTATTTGAAATTCGCAGTGCAAGTAAAGATATTGTTGCCTCACGGAGAACAACTCTACAGGACTTATTGTCGGGTAGGTGTAATTGTTTCACGTTCAAATTACGGTTGTGTATTCTCAAATATTTAAACACTATTAAATTTTGTTTTTAGCCGCTGCACCAGATACTAATGAAGTTCACACATGGCTTGCACTAAATAATGGTGCCTCCCTAGAAGTAGAGGTGGCTCATGGGAGAGAGTTGAAAAAACCTGCTCGCAAGATCTTCCGTAGTTGGTCTGTTCACAGAATAGGAAAAATCTAATCTTAGTTTGTGTGTACTATATTAGTACTTGTTTTTACTATATCCAAGAAAGGAGTGAGGGCATTCTGATAATGTCAAATGTCATATTTTGTATTTTTAATATTTACGTACTGTATTCAAATTTCTTTAATAAAGTCATGATGAATTACTGAAGTGCATGTTTACATTATTTATTTCCTTATTTCCCTGTTATTCAATTAACAAATAGAGGAGATAACTACCAAACTGTAGTTGTCGCTGACAAATATATTTATTCAAATATATTGACGAAAGTAGTTCAAAACGACAAAGCTTTGATGGTGAAGAAGCTCATTCATTTAATTCGCAAGTCCCTGAATTTTCTTAGTGAACAACGATTGCCGTTCTACTGAAACTGTTCAATGGGCTGCGATTCAATACTCAAAATTTCGCGGGCAACGTCAAAAGTGAGTGGTGGGGGTCTGGTTCGGTTCGGTCGTCCCGAATGAACGAACGAAAGCGAAAGCCGAAGAAGGACGAATCCACCATCACGGATCACGGAACAGTGGAGCGGCCGGATTACGAGACGATTCGATTGATAAGTCGTCCGCATCCTCTCATCGCTTATTATCCAGGTACTTCACTGACTTTTAAGTTTCATTTGTATTGGTTGCATAGGCTTAGCCTCTTGTTTTACCGTGTGAAGTTAGACTTGTATTGAATTCAAGACGCACGTACACCATCGTTGCCGGCTCCGTGCTGTCTAGCAATGTTGTGATGGTCGGGAGATATTTGCAGTGCCGTGCAAACTAGAGTTCTTGTGAGATCAGATTGCAGCTGACCGAAGTTAGTCTATGCCCAGCTCGCTTTAATTTCTAATTTATTTTTGCTTGTGAAATCGCTGTGTTCTTTACGTTTCTCTACTTGAAAAGTGCCTAATCACGCTTCAGTAGATCGTGAGATCGTGTTTTTTCTAAGGTTATGTTTCTTGAGTTTAAGGCGTTTGTCTTGCCAATAACTTGCATGCCTTTAAAATTTTGTGTCATATTTAGTTATGGTATGGAATCACTTCTTTACCTCACAGCACTCTTGACATTGTTTGATTAATGAAAAGTGTCACATACATGTTACCGTAGTGTTACAATTAAGGCGACCAATTGTTTATTGTTTTTGTATTTCCTTTCTTGACTCACAATTTCGTCATTGCTTTCAGAGTTTCATCGACTTAAGGATGGCAGCTTTCGGTTCAGAACAACTGGCTCAGCTGAAAGCTTTCATTGAAGTGTGCAAAGCGAAACCATCTATATTGCACGCAGATGAATTCAAGTTTTTTAAGGATTACATTGAATCGCTTGGCGGAAAAATTCCTCTATCCAGCACTAAAGCTGACCCTAAACCAACCGCATTTACACCCAAACGTGAAGCCAAAGTGGAACCAGAGCCTCAACCTGAGCCAGAAGCTGAAAGTGAAGAGAGTGATGTTGAGTTAGACAATGAGGGTGTTATTGGTAATATTTTATCTAAAAAAAATTGAAGGAGAACTTATTGTGTGTATGGATCAAACTTAATTCTGATAGTCGTTTTCTTTTGTGAACAGAACCAGACACACTGGATGATACAGCTTTTCCAAATGCAGAGAAGGAAGTCTCTGAGGAAGACATAGACAAATCAAGTGAAAAAGCAACTGAAGCTGTGCAGGCATTCCAATCAGGAGAATTTGAAAATGCCATCAAATTGTACTCTGAATCGATTTCTCTCAACCCTGGTATGCATCCTACAAACTGTTTGAATTATCTTAAAATCTGAATGACTCAAGATGAAGTGAGTTTCCTCTAACTGTCTACAGGAAAGGCTATACTCTATGCTAAAAGGGGTCAAGCATATCTTAAACTTCAAAAACCCAATGCCTGCATTCGTGACTGCAGTCAAGCTTTGAAACTAAATCCAGACAGTGCCCAAGCATATAAGTTCAAAGGACGAGCTCATCGCCTGTTGGGTCAGTGGGAAGAAGCTGCCAAGGATCTACGCTCTGCTGCCAAAATTGACTTTGATGACCAGGTTGATGAATGGCTGCGAGAAGTTACTCCAAATGTAAGTACTCAACAAAAAAAATTAGCAGCTTTACACCCAATTGAAAGGTTTTGGGTTAACTCTAACACTCTGGGTTCTGAATTTCCTAAATACCTCTTACTCAGCATTCTGATTAACTTGAACTTTGTTAGTGGTGGGAGGAGAAAATATTCAGCTCAATTTCTTGACTTTTATTGATTTTTATTAGATTTTCTTAAAAAATTCTTCTCTTAAATCATACCTGTACACATTACTTTTTTAATTTACACTCACAGCATTTGGCCCTGCCTCTCACAACCTTAGACTGGACATGATAATTATTTACATAGCATCTTAAAAATTACCTCATTACTATGCAGTCATGTCACTTTGGTACTTGATGTTCCATAAATAATTCACTGCGATCAGAAACATGAGAATAACTTAAATGTTAAACCCTGCCAACAAAGGGATTGAAAGTTGTTAGTGCTCTCCAAGCTTACTCCAGCGTTTATGGATAATAGCGCACTCCTCTTTTTGTAAGTGGGCTGAACCCATTTGACTTGCCCCATCACACTTTGGCTAACAAATTTTTTGCTGCTATTTTTTTTTTATTTCATGTTTATTTCACAGAGTTTTAAACGTTTTTGACTTCCAGTGTTTGGCAATGAACTCAAATATAACTCAGGCTGATTCATCACATTGGTAGTAGCATGTATTTAGTTGCTGTATGCCAAATTGTTTCAAAACTCTATGGAACTTTTTCTGTTTTTAAAATGATTTTATACAGCACAAAATGAGATCTGGTGCTAAGACTTACGCTTTTCACTGGAGAGCTCTGTCAAGGAATGATGACTGTTGCTTTTCTCACTTGGCTTACTACACCAGCTTATTGCACCTTCTCAGAAGCCTCAGTTTTCTAAGGAAAATGAAGCCCTGAGATAACATGCTATAAGATTTTACTTGATTATGCTTCATGAGACTGGCCGGGCTACTGGTCAGTGGTCAGTCATTAAGTCAACAAGGTATCACATTTTGCTGTCAAAGGACAGCTGTTTTCAACTCTGTCTTATTACATGGGTAGAGGCGTATGGCCTGTAGCCCATAGAAGATTCAGGAACCTTGCCTTTGAAACGTGTTATTAGTTTTTTGACTAGGAAAAAAACAAAATTAGAAATGCTGTACAAGTGTGCATGGACCCCGCAGTATTGTAAATGGTATCACATCACATTTGTACTTACAACAAAAATCAAATATTTACAAGTCTAACATGCAGTTCCTATTATTTATATCAGCATACAAAGCTTAAAAAAGGAACTTGAAAAAGAAAATGAACTTTTATCAGCTTGTACTTGACCTCTGTTGTTGATTTAGAAAAACTACATGAATGACAGAGATCTTGGTATAAGTTGCATTTATGACAAAAAGATTACTTTGTGACTTCTAGATTTATTTAATTGCAAAGGTCTTATGCCAGAAAAGTATACATTGAAGTCACTTTGATTCATAGTCGAAACCTCACCTTTTCAAGAGAAGGCTTTTAGTCCTTGGGCTTCTTCACCTCATTATATGATCTCAACTTTTAGGTTGTTTCTTCTCATGTTGCTCTAGTGCGTCTTCAACATTCATCTTATATTTCCCCACTAATTCGGGCAAGTCATAGGCAATTGCAACATCAAGTCTGTTAATAGGGCATCCTCTGAAGTATGTGCAGGTTGCTGCCAATTGTTGGAATTCGTAGAGAGGATTGAGTTTGAAAAAGTCGCGATATGTTTCTGGGTCTGGTAAATCGTAGCGAGAAATATTGGTGAGAGTACTCAGTCCTTCATAAATGTGATAGTCCTGAGGATGTTCAATAATATCATCTGCAGTCTTCTTCTTGTTGCCAAAGAATGATTTGTGGTTATAATAGGTGGTCAAGTAGCAGTCCACCATTTTAGCATGATTACGCACACGAACCTACAAAGCAAATCATTGAATTAACTTCAAGGCTAAACTGTTATCATAAATTCAAAGCTTACACAATTAATTCATTGTTAAATCATATAACTTAAAACTGTTGATAACTTACAGCAAAACGGCGTGCACTTGCTATCTTGTTATCCACTCTTTTATTGATAGCTTCTCTTAAGTCTCGTAGGAATGCATGCTCTTGAGCCTGCAGTAAGCGGATTGGTGCTCCATTCTCATACGGCATTGACCATAAGGAAGTGGAGTACATTATGGGTGGCTCTGCGCTTGACATCAGCGGGCTGATGTTCCAAATGAGTGTGCCCTGTACTCTCATCAACTCCTCTGGTTTAACCTGGTCTGCTTTGTTGAGGATGATGCGAGTCTGTGAACAAACAAGATTTTAGTTGTCTTCTCTACTGCAGCCTATTATGAGAGGAAGTCCAAGATATTTCTTTTTTCTTACTTGGTACTCTCTTCCTTTTAGCTGGTCAAGAATAGCCTCTGTCTCTGGTCCAACATCCAATTTAGATGGGTCATAGACAAGGAATATAATATCTGCTCTGTCAATAAACCACTGACAAGCGTCATTGAATGGGAACATGCGCTCCACTTGCTTCCTGATTTCCAGGATGCCAGGAATCTCCACTATGTTTACCTATGACAGACGAAGGTCAATTTAGTGATTGCCCTAGAATATTTTTTTTTCCTTTTTAAATATAATTTGCAGTATATTTGACAGCTCAAACCTTTTCCAATAGGGGGGACTTGAGTTTTACTCCCCTAAGACGGTCTAAGAGTCCTTGCCCAAACTTTTGTAGTCCAGAGAATGTCCAATCTGCAGCTAACTGGGTACCATCTAAAATCTCACTGCGTTCGCCATGCATAAGAATGTTGAAATAGGCAGGGGATGGTTCAGCACCTAGGAATTACATGGGATGTGTAAGACATATCAAAGCAAGTTATTTTCACAATTTAAATAGTATTCTATTACCTGTCCTCAGTGAAAGCTGATTGTATTCATTATCAAGCAAATAGTTGATTATGGTTGATTTGCCTCCACTCCATGGTCCCATAAACAAAATCAGTGGTTTGGAAAATATTTCTGGGTCTAGTTTTGAAGAAAATTTGAAATTAAACCAACCTGAATTTGGAATTGTTTTTAACATAAATACATAATATAATTTACCTCCAAAGTGCCTGTTGCTGAGGTCGCGGTACTTGTAGAGAAGCTCTAGTGGTTTGATTGCAGTGTCGTAAAGACGTTTTAATTCTCGTAGTGTTGCGTCTGTTACTTTTTCCAGTACAACCTCGGATTCGGCCGACTCTTCGTCAAGTTTAAGAATATGTCCAATATGTTGTCTTGGTCTTAGATTCTCGGGAATTTCAAGTTCCTATATTAAAAAAAAGATGTATTACCCAATCAAGTATAACGTCAGAATGTAAACTCGTGTCCTTTGAGAATGCATACCATTGTTAAGTCTTCCTCTGGCAGTTCTTCAGTTTCTAAATTTGGAAAGAGATCATCAAAGGCTTTGTTGAAAAATTGTTTTGAAACATCATTTAATTATCATTAGATCCACAACCCACCTTTGCTCTCTTCTTCACCCTCTGCCTGCGATTCCACTTCCTCGGCCGATTCTGCAGATGCAATAGGCTACAAAAACAGTAAATGTTGGTTATTTTGTAAATTTGCTAGAAAATATTAATTTTAAATGTATGAAGATCACTTACCTCATCCACTGCCTCTTTGTCATCTTTGTCTGCGGTCTCCTCTTGAACCGATTCTGTGGTTTCTTCCTTTGAATCGCCACCCTCAGATGCCTCCTCCTTGGATTCCCCACTTGCCGCCTCTGCCTCAACAGACTCAGCGCCTTCAGTTACTTCCTCTGCGGATTCAGCACCTTCAGTTACTTCCTCTGCGGACTCAGCACCTTCAGTTGCTTCCTCTGCTGACTCAGCACCTTCAGCTGCTTCCTCTGTGGACTCTGCACCCTCAGCTGCGTCCTCTACGGACTCAGCACCCTCAGTTACTTCCTCTGCGGACTCTGCAACTTCAGAGGCCTCCTCAGCAGATTCTGCTCCTTCAGTAGCCTCCTCGGCAGATTCTGCACCTTCGGCAGCATTCTCAGCAGATTCTCCACCCTCAGTTGCTTCTTCTGCGGACTCTGCACCCTCGGCAGCATTTTCAGCTGATTCCCCACCCTCAGTTGCTTCTTCTGCGGACTCTGCACC